GCGGCTTGCGGGCTGTATGTGGCCCTCGGGCCGCATTTTGCCCAGGTCTGCTCTAACCAGCTTTGGTTAACAATCTGGCTGCAGCATTTTGGACACACTGGAGTTTCCAGACACTTTCCAAAGGCAGCCCCATGCAGAGTATGTTACAGCAGTCCATCCAAGATGCAACCAAGGCATGTGTCACCATGGTGCGATCAGACCTCTCAAGGAACAGTGCAGCTGGCGCACTAGTTTAGCTGTCCAAAGGCACTCCTGTCCGCTACTGAAACCTGGGCATCCAGTTGTTGTTATTTAGTCATTTAGTCGTGTCCGACTGTTCATGATCCCATGGCCCTCCTGTCTTCCACTGCCTCCCGGAGTTGGATTAAATTCATGTGGGTCGCCTCGATGACACTGTCCAGCCATCTCATCCTCTGTCGTCCCCTTCTCCTCTTGCCTTCACACTTTCCCAGCATCAGCGTCTTTTCCAGGGAGTCTTTTCCAGGCATCCAGACCCAGAGACAAATCGAGGAGCACCCCGAAGCTGCACATCTGTGTTTTTAAAGGGAGTGCAGCCCCATCCAGCATAGGCTGCAACCCTTATAAGAGACTAGGTTGCATTTATTGTACATCTATCTACGTATTGTTTTAAGTACAAGCAGGCGGGTATACAGTCAGACGTTCTCTTCAGTTCTCATTAGCATCTTGTCTGAAGACATAACTTACTATATTTCAGAATGTATTGGGGTTAATTGAATCTGAGAATGTCTGGCTGGGAATACGTTCAGGCCAGGAGAACTCAATATATGCATATTGAATTATTTTCCAGATTGTGCAGGCTGTGGACGAGACATAAAAAATGGGCAAGCATTGCTGGCACTGGATAAGCAGTGGCATCTTGGATGCTTCAAGTGCAAGGCCTGTGCAAAGGTCCTGACTGGCGAATACATCAGCAAGTAAGCCATCCTTCATTTATTTTTGGTGCATAAATTTTGCAGTTGTTTGATTTTTTTTTCTTTTCAGTGGTAGGACCCAAGGAGTCTTGCTCGTGAGTTCACCTGTGAATAATCTTCACAATAAAACGCAGAACTTTTGCCCAGCCTACAGAGCTGACCCATGATATTTTGCTGCTTGAAGTCCAGCTGCAATTGACCTGCCTGATCAACAAAGGCAGGGACGAATTAGTACCAGAAGCTGATCAGCTTATTTTGACCCATGAAGCAGAGAATTTCATAAGCATCTCCCCACCAGTGTTAAAAATACGGGTTATGATCCTACTCAGTAGTAGAGCAAAAAAGCTCTGGATGTGTGGTTGCATAGGAGAAGATTGGGAGGAATAGGGAGGGCATTTGGCTGGAATGATGTGCAGTACCACCATCTCGTAGCAGCTCATGGGGTACAGATTTATGCTTGGGTGCCCAGTTAGCTTCCAGCATTTCAGCTGGTCCTGTTGTACTAGATAGCCTCCTTGTAAAGAGGTCCCAGTGCCTCCTTGTGCAAATGAGGAGAATATGTGTTCATACAACCAGCAACCCATTTTACTGCTATAGGATCCAAGCCAAAATAGGTATCGCTTTGTCTTCTTTTCCTCATCCTGCTTGAGGAGACGCTCTCGCTTGTCTAATTGGATGACAGGTCATGGCTGCAGAGTTCATTCTTCTAAGTGTAGCATACAGTGAACTTGGAAAAATAAGGTTTTTCTATGGTATTGCCTCTCTTTCCTATAAGAACATTCTGAATCAGCTCAGAAATCGGTTTATTCCTACGTTCTCTTCTTACTACAGCCAAGTAAATGCCTTTGGAAGGTTTGAATTGGGCATTGTGGTTTATATGAAGCCATGAAAATGATCCTTGGGTTTATTTTCAAACCAACCAGAGTTATTTAAAATCACAGTCTTATGTTCAAACTTAAAAATAAGCTTGCCTGTGAAGTTAAACTAAACTCAGCAGGAATCTTCCCAGCCGTATGCAAAGACAAAACAGTAAGAAGACAAGCATGACCCTGTAGCATCAATGGAGCATCTTCCAGATTGTGAATGCAGCGCTGAATCCCTGCTTGGCTTTCTGTGCCAAGTATGGTATGTTCTGTCTGTTAAAATTGTGATTCATGCTCACATTTGAAGCAGAATTTATTCATCTGAAAAGTGTCTGATATATTCATGTGGATGTTTGAGGGGGGGAATAGAACTGATTCCCCTGAAATAGAAGAGTACAGATTTTAACTTGTGCTTCCTGAAGCACATTGCAAGATCTAAAGCTTTACAGTGGTAAGCAAAACAGTACAGTATTGGTTAATAATTTCAGTAACAGGTCATCAACCTTACACAGGACTATTAAGAGATTTTGTAGCAGAAATATTCTGGAGGGTATTTAAAGCTTTACAGTGGTAAGCAAAACAGTATTGGTTAATAATCTCAGTAACAGGTCATCAACCTTACATAGGACTATTAAGAGATTGTGTAGCAGAAATAGGAAGGAGAAATGGGCTTAGTTGGTTTTTTAACAAAGTAGTTCTGTATAAAAGGACCACCGCAGAAAAGCTTTGCCCTCCAGATATCTTGTTGGATTGTATCTCCCGGGAATTCAAGTGGTGAAAAACTATGGGAATTTTAGCACCTGGCCATATCTGGAGAGCTACTCATTGCCTCCTCCCTTCTCTAAAGAGTCTTAACTTGTACACTCCTCATCTTAAAACATGATGAAGAGTGTACAGGCAGAATTTCTTCCTGAGTTGTTTTGTGCTGAGTATGGATACCGTGTTTCCCCAAAAATAAGACAGGGTCTTATATCAATTTTTGCTCCAAAAATGCAGTAGGGCTTATTTTCAGGTGATTTTTTTTTTCATGTACAATAATCTACATTTATTCAAATGCAGTCATGTCATCTTCTGGTTGCTGCACTATGGTAGAGGGCAGGGTTTCACTTAAACTAGGGCTTATTTTTGGAGCAGGGATTATATTACGAGCTTCCTGAAAATTCATACTAGGGCTTATTTTCAGGCTAGGTCTTATTTTGGGGGAAACAGGGTAATGAGACAAGCTTGCAAAATTGCAAGAAGCTTTCCTTTAACATTACAGAGTGCATCGGTGTGTTTCATGCTAAAGAGTACAGTCTTTCCCTTGTACTTCTGGTGCTTCATAAGGAATTTTGTGTAAAAATGTGAGGATGTTATGCTTAAGAAACTGATCAATATCTTGTGAATCTTTCAGAGATGGTGCCCCTTACTGTGAAAAGGACTATCAAGTTCTCTTTGGGGTCAAATGTGAAGCATGTCACCAGTTCATCACTGGGAAAGTTCTAGAGGTAAGCAATATACATTGCACAGCATAGCTGTGTTTCATTCATCTATCTTTTTGGCTTTTAAAGGACAAAATGGAAGAGATTCTGGTTAGCACTGAACGTTGTGTGTTTATTGTCCTGGGCAATGCTTTTTTTCAAGAGGGAAACTGAAGTCTAACTGGTGGTTTGTGTTAGGTATGAGAGGAGTGTAAGTGCATGCTTATTGTGAAGAATGGTGTATCCTGCTGGAGTTGTTTCCTTCTGAGATTCATGTGAGGGAACCTCTAGGAGCATGCATGTCTAGTTTTCCCTCATCAGCGGTGTTGTGTACACCCATACTGTACTCACAATCCAATGCCTGTCTGAGTTTGAAGAGAGCTGCTTTCTTTCATTGGGAATTGGGTTTCCAATGCAGTCATAAGAGTCCTAGTCCATTAGGGTTCATGCCCCACAAAATCTTATTCACGGTGCAGGAAGACCCCTTCACACTCATGAATCCAGTTGTATGTAGGCTCAGGAGCCTTCCCTTTCCATGGAGCATCATTGGGGGACATAACATGGTGAGTCTTTTCACATATACAGAAGTGAACACCTAAAGATGACTTATGTCTTTTCTTAAAAGAAGCAGTGTTTAAGAAATATGGTTTTGAGAAGAAGCCTGGAATGGAATGGAACTGAATTGATGTGGACAGTGGGGGCTTTTTCTGCTGTAGCACCCCAACTGTGGAATGCACTCCTGACTCAAAATGTCCCGTTCCAGACCACTTTACTTCACTGACCACCAAGCACTGCAGTGTGTTGTACATTCCATTGTTTGCTTTATAGTTTCTAGTTTACCTTGATTCAGACTTCTCACATTCCATGTGGTGACTATGTATTGCAACACCAGACTTTCCTTTCACTTTTGTGTACATCAGCCACTAACTATCCTTTTGGCTTTAATCCAGTTGTGTTATTAACAGCAGAGTTCTTGTCCTTTGCTCTTCCCCAGTTGCTGATGGTTTTCTGATTGGGCAGTCTCATCCTCCAGCATATATACATATATATATATCTTGTTTTGGACTGTCTTATAATAGAGTTTTCATAGCAAGGAAAATTCAGCAAGGGTTTGTCACTTCCACCTTCTGCACAGTAAAAAGTTAATTTGTTACTGCCATTGTGTCCTTTGCCAATGTCACCTTCAGCTACTGCTGCCCGCCCAGTAGCTTCCTTGAAAAGGATGGATCTTAGTCTGGTGGCTCAGCTGTGATCATTCTGTCTTGGGTGTCCCTGCTAGAAATCCAAACTCACTGGCGGTATTGCTTTCAGCTTCATGGACGCACTAAAGGTGAGCATCCAAGAAGGGGGAACATTTGATGCCCCTGTAAAATTCAGTAAATGAGACATCCTTATTTGCAGTAGCTTGCCATAGGTCTAGCCTAAATCCACTTGTTAGTCCCAGCAAGAGTAGATCCACTGAATCAAATTCCAAATGTAAGTCCCACTGATTCAGTAAGTCTATTCTGGAAGAAACTAGCAGATGGATTTAAGCTTCTGTCTTGAACTACTCAAAGCCATTATCTCAATGTTTCCAAGTTTTAGGTGATTCTTTGTATATATCGCTGTATTAGCCTGATGCAAATTTCTGACACATGAGAACAGAGACATTGTTTCATATGTAGTGCTGGTGGTGTGAAGATGTCTCAGTGCCATAGAGCATCTAGAGTTTCATCTTTATCTTTGCACATCAAAAGTAAATTGGCTTAATTTGGAGTCTGCTGTGTATCTTCAGCTATTTGACATGATTCTAATGTTGCTCAGTGTTACATTCTTGGTGGAGAAGTAATGATATCTTACTTGGTAAAACAATTAGCTTCAAAAAGTGGTTCAATCAAACTATGTTAAATACAGATGAAGACTGGTTTGAGTCAAACTGTTTCTGAGGTAAAATTTTCATAAGGGAAAGACACCAGAGGGCAGTACCGGCCTCTGCCAGGAAATTCTTCTGTTTTTATGTGGATTGTAGATGTAGATCTAGTGTATTTTAAACCTGACCTCCCTTACCTATTAGAAGGGATTTAAATTCATCTCTGCCAGTCTGATGGAGATTGGAAAACTAATGAGTACAGCAATTAAGAAGTAATAACATGTCAGATAGACAATCTGTTATCAGGATATCCGTTTAAACACTTTAGAATGAATTCCTCTAATCTTGTTAATTCATTAATGATCTCCAGTTAGATTTCATCTTAGAAAATGGTTCCATCGGAACATTATTTGTCAATAAATAAGGAGCCTGTTTAATGTATCTAGTACATGACGGAACCCTTAATAAGATCTTTAATCAACGGATCAGGATAAAACACATTTAGCTGTGACTAGAAATTGTCCTGTTCTGGTAGCCTGGACTTCTGCAGAGGAATATATTCAAACTGATTTCCTGCTCTCAGGAGAACATGCTTGTTATCATCATTTGTTAGTATACTCTTTCCAAAGACAGAGGTCATGACTATTGCATGAAAGCAAGAAAGGGCAAGTGAGAAATTCTCTACAAAACTCTTGTTATCCCAGAGGAAATTTCTAAGGTCAGTATCCAAGACACCGTTAATTGGATGGTGGTGAAATTTTGAGACTGTGGGCTGTCTCTTCTTGTAAAGGACAAACAAAGGGCACCATTCCTTATAACTCTCTGCTTGGTGATTTTCTCACCTTCATTTCATCCTCGTAAAAGAAAATAGAGAAAAATCATATGGTCAAAAAGGTGTAAGAGATCTCTGCTGGCTATTTTGCCCTTTGGGCTTCTATCAAGTGCAGCAACTTAGTGAACCTTTACACAAAATCATTAAAAAGCGATAATGATCCTGCAAGGAACAGATCTTTGATATGCAGAAAAATTTGTGCCATTTATTAGGTGGTAAGGCTATATGGAGCTGTTGCCGTGGCAACAAGGGGCTGCCCTTTTTTTGATAGCGGAGGGAAACCCATCAATGGAAAATTACTTGTTTCTTGTTGGCTACTGCCAAACACACGCGGACACACACACACACACACACACACACACGGTCATTATCAAGAAATGATGGTATGAAAGGAATGTGGATTTTTTTTTTAAAAAAAAATGTTGAATTAAATCAGTCTTTGTAAAGTACCATACACACTAGACCTTCATTATTTCAACAGAGGTGTAACTTTGTTGTAAGAACTGAAGGTTTAGAGATGCCTGCGTAATGTATGGATTCATACGCTTTATTTTTTATTTTTATATATGCTCTACCACGGTGCTACAGGCACCTTCACACATTATAGTTTCCCCACATATATATTATTTTAATTTAGCAAAATCTTAGTATATTCTTTCATGGCTAATGTATACAAATCTAGTTTGTCATATGAGTGCACTGCATGATATGATAACGAGAACAATAATCTTAGAACTACAGACCTGGAAGGGAGTCGATGGATCACTGAGTTTAGCCTCTATCAAGGAAGCACAGTGAGGAATCAAACTCCCAGTGCCTGGCTCTGCAAGTTAAAGGTTAATAAAACCTTTCTGCATGGCTTTTTATGTTTATATCCCACCATCCAAACCAATGTACATAGTACTCTTCAGAGCTTGGTAATGCTAATTGTAAGTTTGTTACTTGCAATTAGTTTCTTTTTCCAATAATAATGTTATATTAGATTTCAATTCTAATTTAATAGGGAACAAGTTCACTTATTTTATAGTAGAACTATAACTTTTTAGTTACTGTTGTAGCTATGTGGTCTCACTAAATAGAAAAAGTAGATTATCACATGAAATACAGATGCTGGCTAGTATAACTGCCTTCTGATCTATTGTGGATAAAAAGGTATCAACAACCTAGGTGGGAGGAGAGTGTGTCCTATGCCTGCAGCATTATGAAGTAACTAAAAGTATTCTCAAACTAAATGTTACTGGCCAGGATCCTAATTGTGTAAGTTTAAGTAATTTGCTGTGGGTAATTGCACCTAATTGATGAGGTGCAAGGCCTGTCTTGATCATGTGCCTGGTCATATACCTGATTGCATCACTCAGATGTGCCCAACGTATGTCAATTAGTAGCAATAAGCACAGCTTAAGGATACAGTAGTACTTCCCCCATCACAATAGAATGAGGGGGGAGGAAAATTGTTCCGGCAAGAGCCAAAATTAGTGGCAATATATGGTGACAACACCATATATTGCCACAGGAACTTTTGCTTCAAAATACAGTAGGACTGCCATAGCTGTGGGATCAGTACCAGCAGTTTCACTTATCTGCTGCCTGATAATATTAAATAAGAAAACCCAGAAATACATGTTTCCAAGATGTGTTACCAGAACTGGACACCAGAGGGAGTCACAGAGTATGCTATCTACGCATGTGTGTTTTCTGTGCCATCAAGTTGGAACCAAATTATAGCGATCCTAACAAGGATTTCAGGGTAAGTGAGATATTTTAAGGACTGATTTTACCAGCTCTACTTCCCCAGTGAGTTTCCATGGTCAAGGGGATTTGAGCCCTGTTCTCCAGAGTCCTAGTCCATCACTCTATCAACCACACCACACTGGGAATCCATGCTATATCTAGGGTTCACTATATCCTCTATTTATGACATCTATGGAGCAGGGGGCTTGGAACCGACCCCCTGAAGATACTGCGGCCCTACTGTACAATGCGGCTTACTGTCCATTAGGGCTTATTGGGTAATCTTAGCAGCACAGAAAAGGCCACATTGACTTCATTGGTTGTGGAAGAAATGGAACGAAGCAACCCAGCTGATACAGTCAGCAGAAGATCACTATCTTCCTTTCTCTCCTATATCAGTAGCACCATTACTAAAAAGTGAATGTCGGTGTATAGGGATGATCTGATTGTATGGACAGATCAGGCACTGCCCAGCTAATATCCAGTGGTATTTTCTTAGCAGAAAGCAATGTTGAGATTACTTAGACCACACAAGTGAGGATGTTAGATAGCCAGCTTGGTGTAACTAGCCCCACCTTTGGTGACCCGACCCTTTACCCCACTTTCCCCAGAGGG